GATAAGCGATACGAGTGGTTTCGGGCTCCAGCAAATGTCTCTCGTACGGAGATGTGTTTACGACCTCGGAAATGTTTTGAAAATGCGTTCGTTGCGAGAAATGCGAGAACAGCTTCATTGACGATGTAAACAAACCTCCTACGATCTCGTAGATGCGTTCGTAAATCCTGACTATAGTCCGCTCCACCAAGTTGCTCGGCGTCACCAGTCGACCAACAGCTCTACTGGACATCAGAGACATCGTGAGGTCTGCCTCGAACAGACTTCACATACTGCATCGCCTCAAATCCTTTGGTGTCCCACTTCCGGATCTTCAAAACTTCTACAGGCTATTCACCCTGTCCACATTGACCTTCCCCCTCCCTCACCGCCACGAATAAGCTGATCCAACTCGAGAGGGTGCAGAAAAGGGCAGCTTAGATTATTCTCGGTCCTGCCTGTGTCAGCTACGACAGCCCCCTCACTACCCTTACCTCCCTCGCCACTCACTACACCACCTCGCTGCAGCATTGTGGTCTCGAGCTACTGTGCTATCTGTGTGTATGTGTGCGTTTGTGTCTCTGTGTGTGCGTATATGTATACACACATACAAATATATATGTGTGTTTGTGTGTGTGTGTTTGTATGTGTATACATGCACACATCTATATCTACACACACACACACACACACACACACACACACACACACACACACACACACACACACACACACACACAACACACACATATATATATACATATAAATATATTATATATATATATATATATATATATATATATATATATATATATATATATATACATACATACATACATACATACATATATATATATATATATATATATGTATATATATATATATATATATAATATAATATATATTATATATATATGCGTGTGTTATACATTCCATACGTAAAAAAAAATAAACAAATTAGACGAGTTCCACCAAGAAGAATCAAAGAAAACCCAGATGTCAGCGGTAACTTCATATTTTTATTTACATTCGTATACATGATAAAGTTCGCAGAGAGAGCTGGAAAACAAAATTAAGATCAGATTTCTTGCAAGGAAAAGGCATTTACTTTTTGGCTAAAAACCGGTACAAATAATGATGATGATTATAATGTGAGCATGAGGATGAGGATGATGGTACTGATGATAATGATATTTATAATAATAATCATATTGATCATAAGAGCAATAATAATTATAATTACAATAACAGCAATGATAATAAAAAAACCTATATTGGTGATAATGTAAATGGCAATAATAGTAATGATAAAAACATTATTAACAATGATCATAATGATAATGACACAAATATTATCAGTATCATTATAACAAGACTTTTATACATTTATGGGTGTTATTACATCAAACATTTTAAAGGCGTTCATTTTATAGTATTCTTTTTAGTACGATTCATTCACGTACAGATATGTAAATTGATGTAACTACTAGGAACATTTGTTTGTCTGAATATCTGGATTCAAAATGTCAGAAATAAGAGGAAATTACCTCGACTCTTTACACATATAAATCTACAAATCTATCTATATCTACATCTTTTTCTTCATATATACATCTTTTCTTCTACCTCACAAACCTAATACATACAAATAGATTTGTCCTTATTTACAAGCCATTTTACCGTGTCCTCCGCGCAAAAGCAAGTTTTGTTGCCAGATGCGTGACAAGTCGAGGTGGCAGAACTCCCTGGATGGCCTGCAGTATCTGTTCGTCCTCGCTCGCAGACAGTCTGTTTAGACCCTGACATACGTGCGTCATTGGGGACTCTCTGGAAGACGAGGAGGAGGAGGCTGAGGAGGAGGAGGAGGCTGAGGAGGAGGTCGAAGATGGCCGTGGTTCCTCTTGGTAGGGGAGTACTCTTAATCGGAAGGACTGGCTGTCTTCAGGGTGGTAGTTCTGAGTTTGGCATGAAGTGTCCCTCGTCAGATCCGGTTGCAAAGGGCACATCTGTGAAGACCCAGGGCTTCGGCTGTTGGGAGGCGAAAACACCCCTTGGGGAATTTGGCTGTAGGGTTGGGAATAGATTTCTCGGAGTAACGTGTTCTGGCTGCAGGGTACCGAACGCACTTTCCGAGGCGGTGGACTCCGGTAATGCGATGGTGGCTGTAACTTCCTCGTAAAATCCCGTGGCTGTCTGATAAGGTCAACGTCTTTCGAGAGAGGGAAAGCCATGCTATCAACCACGTGCTCCCTCAGAGACCAGCTCCTGTTTCCTCTTATCGGTGGAATTTCTCTGTAACTCCTAGTGGACGTGTAAGGACCCTCTCCTCGGGGACTTCTATACTGTGGCTGAATACCTGCAGGCAGTGGTATGATATCCAGCTCTTTCGTTCTTAGAATCGGTGGGGCCTCTTGCGTCTGCCTCCTTTCCAGAGGAGTTTCGGGCGTGAAGGAGCTTGGTCTCTGGTAGTCATGGTCTTGATGAGGAACATGATTTTCCGTTGGTGTGCCCGATGCTGATC